TGAAGTAATCGCTTTTGTTGACCGTGACTCCAACCTAGACCTGCTGATGGATGGAGGGAATTGGTTTTCAAGTCTTTGGCTAGGGTTTTTCCAAAGTGAAAACATAGTCGAACTTCATTATGAGAGCTTTTTGTCGCTGGAAAGTGGTATCATACGAGAACGTGTTCCTGTGGTCACCTCGGGTCGTGAAAAGCAGTCGTTTGAACTGCAGTTTCCTTTCTCTTGGATAATTAAGGAAAGAATTGATGCCATGTGGAGGGAGGCTTCGAGCATTGCGGGTGAGACACTTTTTTTCTTTTAAAAAAGAGTTGTTTCATTTTTCATATTGTCTCTGAAAAACGTCTACGATCTCATCTTGATACTGTTGTGTCCTTTGTTGTCCTTAGCGGGATCAAACACGCCAATTCAACAGTGTTTACATGACCTTGTAAACAATAGTGAAATGGGCCGTTTTCTTGACGAGTCTTCGTCAGAAGGTTATAAAGAAGCTGCCGTTGAGCGTTATCTTCATGATTTTGTTCACATGGTGCTGAAGCCACTAGTCCCTGAAGAGGAAAAGGTATCAGGCATAATTTCCGGAATGTTACTGGTGTTTTCCTACCCTGCAGCTCCTTTCACGATCGACGATCGAACTGATTAAGATTATTTTGCATTATATACTAGGGTCTTTTTTTAATCCATAAGAATTGTTTTGAGCCGTTTTATATGCCTATTTTCTATTTTAAGAAATTCTCAACTTAAAACTGACATTTGCCGTTTGCCGTAAACGTGACTCTGAATCTCTTAAATGTCTTAATAAAGTCATGTATACTACTGGACCTTTTTGTGAATGAGGGTTGCAAGTCAAGCAAATCTTTCTCGTAGACACTGCAATAATATATTGGTAAGAGCTCACCACTAGCCTTTTTTTTATTTTGTTTTAGCTACTCCGTCAGGCTATTGTCACAGCCGCTCGCGAATGGTATGTCGACTCGAATTTTTCAGAGGAGTTTGATCTCAGCATCCCTCTTATCCATGTTGTGTATGACGCCATCGAGAAACGCTTGGCAAATTTCAGCCAACTGTTACATGCGCAGCGGGACATTATAAGCGGTCTTCTAGAAGTCATTCCGCCCAACGAACAGGAGATGGTAAGAAAGGGTATTAGTTAGGTAGCCTAATAATTAATATGTCCCATGACTGGGCATTCGAGGGCACAGGAAAGAAACTAAGCAGTCTACTAGACGGTTTTCTTTTTTTTGGCACAAACCCGAAGCTACGTTTTGTTGTTACATCGCATCTTGCAAAGTGTTCTTGAAAACTGTAATCGTAATGTAAGTGTTCTGCACTCACATAAATTACTCAGCACTAAAAATGTATATTTGGTAAAACACACTCCCTGTAATACTTTCTGCTTTGAAGAAAGTAGTAGTTGTCGTGTGGTTTGTAGGACCTAATGCACATATTTCCCTCAGAAACTCTACGGAATAGATGCAAAAATATGTTGTTTACTTTCTGTGAATGGACTTGTATGAAAAGCCGACCAATAACCCTATTGAACACTTTCTTTCATGGATACATTACCTATTACTCCCTACTCCACAATGTTTTCACAAAGCTTATGCAGAGAAACTCGAAAGCACAACCAGCACCAACTTTGTCCCACAACAGTGAATGTAATGAAGAAAGCTATCGAACTTGAACATGGCCGGATAACACTATCTGACCGTCTATTGTAGTGTAGTAGCTTCTGACTCCTAACCTCGTGATTTGCGAGGGAGAAATCCGACTCCTGGCACAAAACATTTACTCTCGGAAATCCTTGCTGTGACTATCTAAAGCTCGTGCCTCTGGGCTACCCATGACTGTTTCCTTAACTTCTTGTATCCAATATTTAGGTCCTTGATGCAGTTGCCCTTCAGTTGTGTTTGTCACAGCTTGAACCAAGAGCAGAAGAGTTCGCTGATTCTCAGACTTGCTTAGTGTGGTGCAACAGAGTCCTGTCCATCAGATCAAGCGCCGAAAACATTCTTTACAGCAAATCACAGTATGGACCTAAATCAACTCAGATTCTTAATCATTGCAGGTCTGTGACCCACAAGAATAAACTGTAAAGTTATCCTACGAGTAATTTAGTGATACCTGGAAAAACGATCCTTGTAGTCTGTTGCAAATCTCTGGTAAATCCTTATTATAGTAAGGACAGCCTAAAAACAAGTATTGTAAATTTAGAATTCTTGCAATAGCTCTTTCACTGCTAATAAAGGCCGAAGAAATTTGAAATTTCTTTTTGCAAATTCCACGAAATAAATAGCAATATGAAAACGTTCTGCAAAAGAGGCTTCATGTGAATAGTAATACTATAGGATTCCATCCAAAGATAAAGAACTTAGATTGACATGATGTTTGAGCGAAAAGGTTTATGTAAAATACGTTCTCTTCATAATAGGTTCCTTGATCTTTCGGTTCACAGTGGTTTAGACCTCTTTTTCCTGGTCTTTATCAGGCGATGATCAAAACAGATCTGATGAAGACCAGCAGGAAGCTGTTGAAACTTGGCGATCAATAGGAAAGTGACTGACGTCTAGAATTCCAAATTATGTTGATTATTATTTTCCATGCTATTCTCTTCTTTATTTTGCCATCCCAACAGGTCAACTTGGCAAAGAGTGTGCGCTGTAAGACTGTTTATAGAACACACCTGTCCTGGTTCATCGGCCTGTCACCGAGCGGATGACGTAAATGCTTTCAAGCTTTGGAAGGTGAGAATCAACCTTTTCTACCCGTCCCCAAGCCTTGGAACGAGGTTGGGTGAGAATAGAAGGCACCGTGGTACTCTCGTCTTTTCTAGATGTATTTTAGCTGGTGACTTTAAGTTAAACTAGCAAGAGTGTTCCATTAAGTTGTAGATCCCGAGCTTTTAGATGTCTGGTAAAATTTTGAAATTTGTTTACCCACGGAGCATTTAGGAGTTCTAAGAACTCGTTGAAACGTTTCCGTGCGTTCCAGCACGAACTGGAATTTGAAAGTGTTGGTTTTTAAGGAGAGGGGGAAACCGGAGTACCCGGCCAAAAACCTCTCAGAGCAAGGGAGAGAACCAACAACAAACTCAACCCACATATGGCGTCGACGCTGGGATTTGAACCCGGGCCACATTGGTGGGAGGCACCACTGCACCCCTTACTCCTCAAGGGTTATACTTAGAGTGCCGTAACTTGAACCCCAGACAAAGTTCAGTCGTCAAAATTGCCTGATGAGTGTGGTCCTTGCACCATACGAAACAGTTCTGTAGCAATAAAACAATGATTACTCGTGAAACCTGAACTTCTGTGAAGTTATATATATATATATATATATATTTATATATATGTATATTTATATGTCCTTGTAAAAAAGCGTCATTTTTATGTAAAAAAGCAGCTTTTTTACAAGTTACCTGGTTGTAAAAATACTGCTTTTTTACAAAAATATATTTTTTGTTAGAAAGTTGATTTTTTTTATGTAAAAAAGATGTTTTTTTACAGAAAACATTTTTGTAACAAAGCTGCTTTTTATGTAAAAAAGATTATTTCTGTAAATCATGCAGTATTTGTAATATTGTGCTTATTTACACACACATAAATAGGCAGCTTCTTGATTTTTACTGAACCACATTGATGTGCTTCTCAATGATTCTTAAATCAAGTTCGCGCTCCTATTTTACAACAGCCTGTAGGTTGGTTGTAGAAGTTCTTTCGTTTACTATTATTATTGTGCGAGCCGAAAACTGTACTGTTATGCATCCTTTTTTCCAAGGTTATCAGGTGCAATAATCGGTTTAGCTGTCAACAAAACACTTGGCTATATTATAAATGAAGTCACTCGTGTTTACATACATTGATAAGGGGCAGGATGTAAGACGCGTGCACGCGTGGTCCAAATTGTTAAGAAATTATATGTTACTCATTCATTTTAGCATTGAAAGTCCAAGGAACAAAATAATGCAACTCGATTAATGTCATCTCACCCAGGGGGGAAGGGCCTGATATAAACCATATAGGTATGTGCCGCCCCAAAGGGCAGGAATTTTGCGCCGTGTTGGCCTGTAAACGGGTCCCATTAACTACGGCTGTGTATCTTCGTCTTTTCAATTCCAAAAAAGAAGAAAGTGTAATATGTGGATTCAAAATGACTTTTAAGAAATCTGTTTGTTGCGGTTTTCGTCTTATCAATGATAACATAATTTCTGTTTGCAAACACGTAATGTTGTGTTTTGTTACCACCTCCAGAACTGAAAAAGGATGTGGGAAATGACATTTTTTTGGGTCCGAAATACTGCCAGGATTTGGAGAACCGGGCGGCGGCACACCCCTACCAAGAATTCCCTTTATTCCTTTTGTGCCTTTTATTCCCCAGAACTATAACAATTCTATTTATAACAATGCTTCCTGTCATCCATTTTTTATTTCTTTTTTAAAATTCATTTTTTAAATCTCAGAAAGCATAACATTGCAACCTTCTTTTCAAGGAAACCAATGAAATGAAACAACAACAGACATTTTATAATGCGGAAAAAAAAATTGTTCTGACTGCCGGACATACAACAAAAGACTTAGAGGGGTGCCCGGGGCTAATTTGAAAAACCGAACTAAGAGAAATTCATGGCAATGACCTTTTGGATGTCTTCTTTTGATATGTGCGAGACCTCTGATTCATCATCCTTCACCTCTCCAAAGGAGTCAGAGCATAGCCTTTCGTCGAGGCTTTCCTTCGCTAGCTCAAATAAACGATCACAAAACCCCGCATTCCACGCCTTTCTAGAATCCTCTGGGGTGTGCAGAGCGATAACATTACCCAATTCCTGTACCGTTATGTCGGTATTGAAACCACGCGTTTGAAGCTTCCGCATGAAAATCTCAGCAAGTTCTTCGCACGTGAAGTCATCACATATGAAGATTGCTCTTATTCTACGCTTAAAACCGGGGTTCAATTTTATGAACTCTTCCATCTGAGCTGGGTATCCAGCAAATATCATCACTGGATTACCTCGGAGCATGGCTTCCATCAAGGTAATCCTTCTCGGAGTCCACCCTCAGACGATACGCCTCATCTACGAAAAGTACGCTGCCCTCTGCCCGCTCGATACACGCTTTCGTCTAAGAGGCAGTCTGCCCGAGAAACGAGGCAACAAGATCGGGTCGTTGCACTTCGGCCAACTTTGATGATTTGGTAATTCCCAGGTCTTTCAAGATGCCTAGAAAAATATAAATACATTTTAACCTCCATTAAGCAGCCACCCTCCGGGTACCTGTAAGTGATCACTTAATAGAGGTTAGCCGGTCGATAGAGGTTCATCAGCAGAAACTTAGCTTTATTTTGAAACAAGTGCGCGAGGGAAGGTGTGTTACGGGTCCACAATTGGCCGTCACCTTCTATAACGACGATACTTTCCTTCATCATATTCGTGACTAGACGTACGACTGGTTAATTGAGGTGACAACAATAGAAGAACCCGTTGTCGGTTGCCGCTGTCGCTCAATGGAGGTGGCGGCTTGAAAGGTGTATAACTTCTTATTCCAGTCATTCGTTCCTACAATTTGATCACTGGCCGCTTATAAGAGGGTGCCCTCTTATTGAGGGCTCAACTGTTATTTGGCTGATGCCAGTAATCGTGAATTCACACACCTGCTATCAACCTCCCTATCGTCGTTTTCCCAGTTCCCGGATTACCCATGNGTCGATAGAGGTTCATCAGCAGAAACTTAGCTTTATTTTGAAACAAGTGCGCGAGGGAAGGTGTGTTACGGGTCCACAATTGGCCGTCACCTTCTATAACGACGATACTTTCCTTCATCATATTCGTGACTAGACGTACGACTGGTTAATTGAGGTGACAACAATAGAAGAACCCGTTGTCGGTTGCCGCTGTCGCTCAATGGAGGTGGCGGCTTGAAAGGTGTATAACTTCTTATTCCAGTCATTCGTTCCTACAATTTGATCACTGGCCGCTTATAAGAGGGTGCCCTCTTATTGAGGGCTCAACTGTTATTTGGCTGATGCCAGTAATCGTGAATTCACACACCTGCCATCAACCTCCCTATCGTCGTTTTCCCAGTTCCCGGATTACCCATGGGCACTATGTGGTAAACAGGTGGATCTTTCTTGTCTTTACCAGAGGCCCCTGCTGTAATTTTATAGGACGCCCGCTACGAAATACAGATAGCCAGGTGCAAAAATAAAGTCAAGACGTTAACATTGCTACCGTTGGGTATTGTAGAACAACTGGCTTTCGGTCCCCGTCAAACTGTAACTTATTCAAATTTTATTGGTAGTCGGGAATGAGAAAATAATGATATTGAAAGAAACGACAGGTAGATGTACGATGAATTAAACGTACGTGTGACACTAACCATTCGCGGGAAGTCGCTGTAATCCTCACAATACTGGTGTAATGCCCCGATTCATGGCTTATTGCTCCCCACAATATCACGTTATTGGCACTGGACCCGTAAAGGGGCATTAATTCACCAGGATTAGAAAGGGAAAACTCCGATAACGTCAATGGAATGTCAACTTTAGCCTGCAAGAAAATTGAAAAATAAAGCGCACTTAAATGGTTGGTTTTCACAAATCCTTTAAGTCAGGTTTGGTAACCCAAACATCATGTGCTGATGCATGTCAAAATTTAACTACAACTTCAGGTTTTCTTACGTTAACTGTACGGTTCAGGCAAATAGCAAGTACGTTTGCAAGTCTTCTATACTTGATCACTCTTCGTGGTGCCGCTGATAGCTCTATATCCTATGACGCAGAAAAGAAAAACAGAAATGAAAACGTGAGTAGGCTATGTCGCAAAAAGGTCAGGTATAAACACATGAAGAACTACTCAGATCATCGAGTTTCATTGGCTACATTTCAAATAGGATAAATATCGGAATATCTTTTGCTTACCTTGGTGACTCCTGTCTGCACGACCTCCAATAAACGAGTAAGTGAGTCTCCTTCCTCCCAACTGGCCGGCACGATTAGATAGTTACACGGAGACACTGGACACTGAGTTAAGAAAATCATTTAATGCTGTTATTTGAACAATAATTTGTCCTTTTTGTTTCCATGTATCTTGGACGGGAATGAACAAATTTACACTGCCCGGATGCTTTAAGTTAATTCTCCCAAAAAAGAAGACGCAATAATATCCGCATGCTGCGTTATTTTGCGTACTCAAGACACATTTATAATAAAAACCGGTTACTGAATTTTTCATTCCAAAACAGAAACAACAGTACGTTACCAACTATGACGCCATCCAAAAGCCGGCTTTAGATGACCAAGCGTAGCGACAGGATTTTATAAACAGTTTTATTTCTTGATTAATATTTGTTAGTTGAGAAAAAGGATACTGTAGATGAAGACGTTCCCATTTTCATTATCTGCATCGGAGTCATGCACACGACTATAAAACGTTTCTTTGAAAGACTTGCACGTCCCCTCAAAGAGCCCATCCTGGTCCTTTAATTAAAAATGATAATGCATCACTGTTCAGCCATTGTCAACGTTTGTCAAGCCGCCCCACCCTTCCAATGCCCCATTTTGACAGTGAACTTAACCGGAGGCGTATTTTCAGCGACGGGCTGCAACTGAAAGTGGCTCTGCCCATGTTTCCAAACAATCTCCTCTACAGGATCAATAATAGTTAGCAATACTAATTTGCTACGTCGAAAAATGTTTGAGGCCCGGCAAAGGCCTCACTTCCTGACGGAGTGCGTTGCTAAACAAATCACCTTTCCTTAAGCTCCCCTTTTTTGGGGATACAGCTTCAAGAATTACTTTGATTTTGTAAAAAAGGCCAAGGAGCCGAAGAAGTGGGTTGGGAAGGGAAAGCCTTAATTTCCAACGCTTTGATCTATGATTCTATTTACAGTCAATTAGTAGATAACGTAACTACAGTTCGTTTACATTAACGGTCACCTCCATTTCTACTTCCAACTTTTCCAGAAGCACTTGATAAAACTCCATTGTGTCGTTCCAAAACCCAACACCGCGATCTTTTTTATCCCAGTCAATGGCTGTCAGAAGCTCTGCTACGCTACATTCATATTCTTGCCGCTGCAAAAGAGAACAAGTTGAGAACCCTATCTAAATAATAAACGACTGTAAAAAGCAAAGATAAAGTTAACCCATACCATGAAATACTTACCTGGAATTCCTTAGTGTGCACTTTCGAAGCAATGTCGTAGATCTTAACAGTGGCTGTCATTGTTGGACATCCCTCGGGTATAACTTTGGATGCCTGTCTGAGATCAGTTATAAAACGAACATGTTGGAGAACTGATAAAAGGCAATTCATATAACAGTTGCTACCGACATCAGGGAAGCCTGCAAGGATTAAGCAAGAAGAACATGGTTAGCATGATTTTACTGAGAGCGTGTGAAAGACACAAATTCTAACCACGTCCTCTAATGCCGCACCGAGAGACACAGAAAACATCAAGAAGGAAATATGCCGTTCTTTAACCAAAATGGGCTACGCATCACAGCACCTACCGGCCCTTCACAAAGCCTAAAACCACGCTACAGTACGTCCATCGCGAGAGCAACCACCCACCGAACATACCCGCCGGCATCAACAGACGGCTATCATCCCTTTCATCGGACAAAGCATCATTTGACCAAGCCACCCCTCCCCCCATACCAAAAAGCTCTCGACGAAAGCGGATACCACTACACTCTACACTACGAACCGACTACAACTGCTAAACGGAGAAACAGACAACGCAACAACATCCTCTGGTATAACCCCCCATTCAGCAAAAGCGTCAGCACCAACATCGGTCACAGATTCCTCACCCTAGTAGACAAACACTTTCCTAAAGAGAACAAACTCAGAAAAATCTTCAACCGCAATACCATCAAGATCAGCTACAGTTGCATGAATAACACTAAACAAATTATCGACAACCACAACAAGCGTATCCTGAATGCATCCAAACACACAGATAAATCCACAGATAACTCTGTTGACAACAAATCATGTAACTGTCGACAAAAAAACTCATGCCCTCTTAACGGAAACTGCCTTCAATCATCAGTTATCTACCAAGCAACCGTCAAACGTAACGACAATAACACTTCTGAAACATACATCGGACTCACAGAAAACGCCTTCAAAACTAGGTACAGAAACCACACTGCATCATTCCGTCACCCAAAACACAGGAACTCTACGGAACTCAGTAAACATGTCTGGTCCCTGAAAGACAACAACATTGTCTATTCTATTTCATGGCGTACCATTTCATCTAGCTCATCCTATAACAGTTCGAGTAAAAGGTGTAACCTTTGCCTCAAAGAGAAATTTTTAATTATCTGTCGTCCTAATCTATCATCACTTAACAAACGTAACGAACTTGTATCTTCTTGCCGCCACAGAAACAAAGCGTTGCTATGTAACAATTAAACATTTAAATTTAAATTTTGCCCAACAACGTAATCTCAAAGCATATAGTCGATGAACCTATGCCACTGATATTAATATTTAAAGGAAAATAAAGGGAGATGTAAAGAATCAACCATAAGAGGACACAGAAAAAATCTGAGCCCCAGATGGGATTCGAACCCACGACCCTCCGTGTTCTAGATCGGATGCTCTAACCTCTGAGCTACTGAGGACTCGTTGGCGAGCAAGGGTCATTTTTGTGGGTTGGACTTGCGAACCGCATCTCGCAGTCACACAGTCCATCACGAGTTCTGGGGCTCAGATTTTTTCTGTGTCCTCTTCTGGTTGATTCTTTACATCTCCCTTTATTTTCCTTTAAATATTAATATCAGTGGCATAGGTTGGTTGGTTGGAGGCTCCTTCATGAGTGAGACATTTCTTACTATTAATGTGACTGTGTGATACAGTTAAGCCTTAATGTGTTGCTTGTGATGGACTGTGTGACCGTATTTATCGTGCTTTTGCAGAGTGTCTTAAATATACAGACGTATTTATTGTGCTTCTTCAAATGTGCACATGTCTAATACAAACACTCTCCTTACAGGCCTTGGGAGAGGATACAGACTTTGCAAAGCTACACACCATGCGGGTCATTGAGAAGTTTCTGGTTGACTGTAGTGAGGCTGTCAGTAAACGCTATACCAGGTACGATTGTGTAATGTGATAAACGTCGTTAGTGGGCGAGGGGCGAAGGACGCATTTTTTACTTTATTTGATATTTTATGGGTTCAAAACTTAAAATGACGAAAAAGGAAAGAAGCTTTATTTTGAAAGTTTTCTTATTGAAGTATTTATTACCTTATTGGCTTAATACAGATACTTCCAGTCGGCGTTTCAAATTAAACTTTTCAGAGGTTAAGCAAAGTGATTAACCCTTAAGCCCCAATATTCACCAACATTAATTTTCTTCTGACAATATCAATACATATTCAAGAGGAAAGGTTGTGAGAATTAATGAAGTGATCACAGAAGGAAAAATGCTTTGATCTTGAAACAAATTTTCTCAACTAGAATATAGTATAGGGAGATCATTGCAAGAGAATTTGTATAGTGTTGTGGGGGATTAAAGGTTAAAGCCAGGGTTGAGTTTTTCGAAGGTCGATTGATGCAAATCTAGACCGGTTATTTTTTAGCCTGCGAACAGCAGACGTATTTCCGGTGGTCGCTTCTCGGAGGGAGAGAAGCGACGACCGGAAATACGTCTGCTGTACTGTGTAGTTCTCTATTCTCGGGCTTGGAACAACCAGATGCATGTGCCTAATATGCGGACGGCATCATTTTAATCAATGTCATGATTCCCTTTTCACAGTTTTGGTCTTAACACCTGCCCCGTGTGCTTGGACGGCTTAGTTGGAAAGGACCCGGTCAAAATACCTTGCAGTCACGTGATCTGTCTGCATTGCATTTCTGAATGGATAGTACAGGAACGAAATTGTCCTATGTGCAGACAGCACATCCCTGAGGATTTTAGGATACAGTCCAGCCAAATTATAAGGTTAGATTTCTTTTCGTACTTAAAAGGGTTAGTTTCTAGTTTGGAGTGAAAGGCGGAAAATTACAAACTTGTCCCCCTTACCTTTGTTTATTGCCAAGAAAGATGGTTTACAGCTTACTATTAAATTAAGAACTAACGCCTTGGGTCGAGGCCAACGGTTATGGGGGACCTTACGAACAACTTATTGACCAAAACGTGCAAAACCAACAAACATGAAAGTGGCTGAACAAAAATGAACAAATTTGACTAAAAATCTGCGACAAACATTAGCGTGACAGTCAACGGATCGAAACAGTTGTTCTTTTAATTGAGGATGTTGTCCTGCTACAGCTCATTTCAGTGTGATCATGTTTGTCCCTGGGAAAATTTGAGGTGTACTGATGAACTACTGCTAATATCTTTCTGTTGCGCCATTTTTAGGAAAGCTGTCCAAGAACACTCCGACTTTCGCCGCCGATGTAACTCTTTCTTCATGGAGCTTGTTTCATTATTTTGTTTTGGCGCTGAAGGTGGTGAAAGTGTAATGAACAACGAGCTGTTCGACATGTTCATGAGTTACGTGATCGAAGCTGCTAGTTCTAAAACCAAAGACTTTTCTCCTTTCCCTGAGCATGGTATTGATGCAACTGCTGTGGTGAGGTCATTCCTACTACAGCAACTACTGAGGACACGGTATGTAATGGAAGCATTTGTTGTTTCATTTTGTTCGTTTTGTGGTTAGGGATTTGTGTAGAAGTGGCTGTAGACAGAATGTCGCGCATTTCTATCTACCCCCCCCCCCCCCCCCCCCCCCCCCCCCTCCCCTTTTTTTTTTTTTTTTTTCTTTCCCCCCAATTTAAATTTTAAAA